TATGTTTCTATATATTTTTAAATTTTTATTTTATTTTTCTAATACTTTGCTTTTCACCTTTGGGTTGGGTGGTGTGTGTTTATTGAGTTCCCTATTTTCTCCATATTTGCTTTTCACCTTTGGGTTGGGTGGTGTGTGTTTATTGAGTTTCTCTCTCTCCTCTCTCTCTCTTATATTTTTACTTTAGGATGATTTGTGCTTATTGTTTCTAGTCTACTACTCCCTACTCTCTCTCTCTCATCTTTGCTTCTGCCCAAAGGAACTTCTCTCCCTCTCCTTGTGATGCACTGCTCTCTCTCTCTCTCTCTCTCTACCATGTGATGCTTGTGGGGCCTTGCCCTCTTTCTCTCTATACCTTTTGATGACTGGGCCCCACCCACCTCCTCCCTCCCATTTTCTTAGAATGGTTTCTTTGTCTTAGCTCCCATTTTATTTCTCTGATTTTCTTTTTAGGGTTTCCACCTGTGGGTGTTTTATTTCTTTTTTTCATCATAGCTCATAAGATTTTGGCCCTTTTTAGCTTAGCCTGATTTTATAATATGGGTGAGGGTTGTATAAGGGGGCAAGCTTTCTATATTTCCCCTATCCACCAGTCCGGAATGTTAAGATAACTTTGATCACAATGTCCCATCTTTATATTATTTTATTTTTAATGTTTTATATAAAAAAAACTTTGACATTGAATTTTAGGCTTTAACTCCTCTCTTAAACACACGACTATAAAAAAATATTTTAAATGAAATAAAATGACCAAATACAATGAGAATTTCAGGGGTTTTGATTATTATATTTTATCATAAATATTTTTTTTTAGATACGCCCCATTGAGATGGTGGCACGTATCAAATTTCATATTCATGTAATTTTATAGAAAAATATTAAAAATAAAATACTCTAAGGCATCAAATTTTATATCAAACAATAAGTGGTCAACTTGATCTAAATCGGACTACTTCATCTAAAATATTTTAAATATTTTATACTGCACATTTAAAATTTAGTTTGATATGTAGTTCTACTGTCAGAATCCTCATGGTCCCTAATTATAGAATTTAAAATTCCAAAAAAAATACGAACGCATCTATAAACACTTGAAAATCTTGATAACTTGTTACAAAATGTACTGCTTTTAGGACTTAAAACATTTTTCTTCATATATACATGTCTCAAGGTCGAGATGATCAATTGGAAGGTTATTTAATATCATAATAAGGACTTTCAGGTGCCCAAACAATATCACATCTTTAACCACCTCATTTTAAATCAAACGGTGAATAAGGACTGTAGCCTTGCTAATGATATGTCCTTGATGATTTATTTCCCTTCATAAATGATAAAAACCACCGTAAAAAAAATGGTTGTATGACGGTATCGGACCATGCGAAGTTTGAGCGTGAGAGAGAAGTTTATGCATAAGTGAAATGTTTATATCATTAGATATTTGAAGATGGAGGGGAAATGGACAAGACAAAAAACAAAAGAAACCATTAAAGCTTTAGAGAGAGAGAGAGAGAGAGAGAAAGTGGGAAGGAAAGGTTTCACAGGCACTACCAAAATTATTAAAGGAATAGAACAGAATATGCCATGGGCATAATAATTTCACCCACCCATTGTTACCAAGAGGCTAAATTGGCAGGCCTATTATTATCAAGGAACTAAATTTGTAGAGCCTGACTCGTCATACGTTTGCTGGGGCTTTGATTGGCTTGATTCAAGATAAAGATTAAACTTCCAATCTGTTTTGACTAATTAAACCCATCAAGTTTGACCGGCTAAATAAAGTAGAAAAAATATTTATAATGAATTTCATATTATTGAACCATTATTTCTAATTCTTTTTATTTTTTTAAAAATACAATGCACCCAACCGTCTCCTGATAACACCGTAATCCCTAAAATTTCACAATTATGTACCTCTCAAGACTTATCCCTAAATTGGATCAGTTAGGTTAAAAGAGTCGCCTTCGGAATCTGATGTAGAGCACATGGGAAGAAATGGTGTACACACATAAAGACACGTAAACACAGCTGGAAAAGCCTGAAAGTCTCTCTTTGCACTTCTAATGACCACCATATATATACGAGTTGTGGGGCAAGGGGTCAAGGGGGTGGGAGGAGAGAGAGGGTGGATGAAAGAGAGAGGGAGATGAAGATAAGATTGACCGGATGTATTGGGTTGTTTTTGTGGCAGATTGGCCATTATCAGGCCTTCATGGGCAATGAGCAGGTCAAGAGAAAACCTTTTTGGCTGTATTGTGGTGGGAAGATTTTTAGTAGAGAGAAAATCTCGCACCATAATATAGTGAGAGAGCACAAACAAAATCACAGCTAAGAGACTCTGTAGGTCATTGCCATTGCGTGTGCGGACCGACACTTGATGTTGGCACATCCCTAGACTGCTAATCAAGATCCAAAACAGTAAATTTAACATTAGAGAGAGAAAGAGACCGTCAGGAGTAAAATGTAGCCTTATTGCTGAGAAAGGAGTAGCATTATTGCTGAGAAAGGGACGGCAGATTATAAGTCGGTGTGCATCCATGTGTCTTAGAGAGAGAGCATTTCCTTATGAAAGTGTTCCACATCACAACATTTCGCTCGTACTTTGGCGCTCCGAATACAACCATTCTTTAACTTGATGAGAAAAATCATAAAATAACAATGACAAATTAAATGAATCAAAGAATAAATTTTATCAAGAAACTAAAAATAATAGAAAATAATCCATGACAAGGAAAGAAAGCACAACGCCCTTTATTACCAATCTTATCAGCATGTCAACAACCCTTCCTCTTCTCATGAATTGACAAGACAAGAAATTTATGTTCTAGAATCTAATAGCCCTAACATTCTATTCAATTCAACAGAGAGAGAGATATAAATCCGTATAAATCCTCATATTCATATAATTTATGTATATAAGCTAAATGCCAATTGGAAAAAAGTTATGATGATGATGAGCTAAATGCTATAACAACACAGCCAGCAATGAATCAACAAGAATGCCACACATTAATTACAGTATCACATGAACACATGCTCAAATGAACTTTGCTAAAAAATTTCATTTCACCTTCATGGGATGATAACCAAGTTTCTTTTCCAGAATATAAATTACGAAATAACATAAGTAATTGAGAAATGATTGAAGAATGCTTCTAAGCTGAGGCGATCAGGGTTATAGGTGCCACAACAAGATGTCTATTCTCACCAGGCCACATGAAAGGAGGATTAGCAAAGCCACCATTTCTTGTTACCCATCATTAATCATAAAGTGGCAAAGGAATCCACACCATTCAATCCAAGGCCTAAAACCCTCCAAATGCGTTCAATGAGCAACAAGATCTAAACATCATATATTGCAATCTGTATAATAATATGTTGAGTGTCATACAACAGAATTCACAGCCACCTTATAGCTCCTCCCAAAATCTCTAAAATTAAACAAAAGAAAGACAAAAAAAAAGGAAAAAAACAAAAATAACAGTAAAAAAAAAAAAAAAAAGGAAACACTGGAATTTACAACCTGCAAGAGCAAGCTGGACATCAGAGGCCCGCATTATACTAATCCTAGTCAAGGGACAAGAAATGAGACTTACAAAGTCGTATATAAACCAGCCCAACATGGAAAAAGAAGTGAAAATAAAAAATAAAACCAATATAGCTATTATTTAATAACATGAGCACATCCAAAATAGAGATGCAATGTGAGGGAGGGGTCACCCGGTTATGGCGACTGACTGCTGAAGAGGCGCTTCAAGCTGGGGCAAACAGTACGCAACCTCCCGATAACAGCCGTTGATATCTGGTTCATACAAGTACAAGCACGCAGGCATGCATGAAAATGCAAGTCAATAGT